AATTTGATGGTGTTCACAGAACTGAATTTGATGGTGTTCACAGAACTAATTTGATGGTGTTCACAGAACTAAATTTGATGGTGTTCACAGAACTGAATTTGGATGGTGTTCACAGAACTGAATTTGATGGTGTTCACAGAACTAAATTTGATGGTGTTCACAGAACTGAATTTATCTCCTCTTTTTTATAATGTCTAGATAAATCTGTCTACGTGTTGTTTTATTTGAACAATACTGAATCCCCCACATGCCATATGTGAGTGTTTGTGTGAGGAGAAGCAGGATGCGTGATAATGTACTGTAAGCTATGACATCATAAAAACCTTAAATTAATAGTGGTGTTTTATAACGATACAGATAATGTCATTACGTTGCGTTCTCATTATAACAGCTTGCATGGGATCAAATTGAACAGCAGGCTGCTGGGATAACACCCTAGTTTAGAATATAAACTGGCAGTAGGCGAATTAATTCATTCTTGTTGTTGTCATTCCTAGGGAGTCTTCCAGTATTTATGTTTGTAAATATTTATTGGATGAGGGCGCTCAACTTGCGATTTTTGATCCTGAAGTGAGCAGAGAACAGATTGTTAACGAATTGACACATCCCATGATATCTGAAGATCCTGAACGAGGTAAGACATGAGTGACGTGTGGGTAAAATACTCAACTGTGATCAAGGTATGACCATATATAACTTGCGAGGTTTCAAATACTGAACAGGGTAAGACAGTAGGGGGGATGTGTGGCAAAATATTTCAAAATTTTTAAGTTATACTTTCTGCTAAATTATTTAAAAGTGGTGACAAATTTCTCATAAATGTAGAAGCTCCGATTTTATTGCACTAATGTGATTTACCTTTATTTCAGTTGATCGTTTGGTTACTATAGCAACCAATCCTTATGAAGCTCTACATCATGCACATGCTTTGGTGATTTGTACAGAGTGGGATGAATTTAAGGTAGGTTGCTATGATGATTCATGCAGATAGAACATTCTGTTAATGGCATACACCTAACATAGTTGATTGGCTGAACACTGAAAATGTGCCCTTATAAGCTTTAAATTTTAGAAGCAGGCATTTATGTGGAATTGTATCACAGTAAGGTATTTTCTATGGTAAGGGTGGATTTTTTCTGTGATTTTGCATTTTATTAAACCAATAATTTAAAATATGTCAAAATATATCAAAATTCACAAAATTTATAATGGATTCTCGTTATTAGAACACAAATATAACTGAACATTCACTCTTCACAAATTTGAATTTCACTTCAGTTTTCGAATTTTAAGACTGAAAATTGAGTGAACATGCAGTTGAACTTTGGTTCATTTGTGTGTATGTCATTCAAATATTTTAACTGATGGTGTTCATCAGTTTTCAATTTGTCTAGTTTCCTCAGGGCATTCACCTTACCTCAAAGATTACGTACCTTTGATTCTGTATAGATGCATGTGACCCCCCCCCCCTCCCATAGTTTATCTCTCCATTTTGTCTAATAATAATGAATAATGACAACTCAGCAACTTTCTAACTTTCTGGCCTTAAAAATATAAAACTGTTGTAATGAAAAATGTACAGTTCTGTTTATATTCCAATTATAGCTATATCTATTAAGATATATTTTAGACTTAAAATCCAATATCACAGAAGACTCCCACTAATTTCTATCTAGATCAGTATCTTATTGTGATTTACATGGACTCCTACTTCTAACAAAAAATGTTGAAATGCCATTTAAATGTAAAATATATGGAAGTACATTAGATTTAGTTGTATAAAGTATAAATTTTGTTTTTGTTTTTTGCATTGGAATGGTTTGTTCTATAGTCAGTCATATCAGTTAAATTGAGAGCTTTCTGCTTGACAAGGAAAGCCAATCAAATTCACTATCGGAAAACATATTTCAGTGCTAATATCAGATAACCAGTTTATATTTGTTCATTTATTTATTTGCAGGGCTATGATTACAAAAGAATCTATGACAATATGATGAAACCAGCATTTGCTTTTGATGGAAGGGGTGTGCTGAATACGGAATCTTTAATAGAAATTGGTTTCCATGTAGAGGTGGTTGGTAAGGTGGTTTCAAAGACTGACATGATTCCACTGACTCCACCTGCTGAGAAGTAGACACAGAGGGTGTTGTATAAAGCAGTTTACTTTATAAACTAAACTATTATCTTTCTATCAATCTCATGCAACATTGTAATATTCCTAGGAGCATTTTCAGAGGTGTTTGTTATGACTTTGCATTCAACTACTTGAAAATTTAAAAAAATTACCTTTTTCATATTTTGCATACCGTAATTCTTTTACTAACATCTGACATCATTTCAATCTAAA